AGGACAGACCTTGGGAATGGAACTTGTTCTTAAACTGGGGACTACCTGTACACTTAAAATTATAGCATGTGTTTGCATGTTTCACACTATGACTATTAAGTCGAAAATGAAACTACAGCTAGATCATAATATAAGGTATATGGGTGGACAAGTATTCAGTTTTATTGTGGGCCTTCACTATAGTTAAAAGTATTGTTTCTTTTGTTTAATAGTTCACTATTAATGGGAAGTTTTACTAAAATTGCTAAGTTTTATTAAATAATAACACTCCTGGGTAAGACTGTGATACAATATACCACAATGAAGTCGAGATTATTGCCAGTTTTCACTTGAAAATGCAGATGGTACAAGGCAAAAGTAGGCACTATAGATAGTATTTCTACCTAGATACAAAAAATATATACATAGATAGTATAAGAAAAATGTTACACTGTAGCTGTAAACATTTTATGCCAAATGAACTATTGCCTTACATAGAATATTATTGTTTGCTATACCATTTTGGCATATTTTCGTTAGAACTAAAGTTTTTTTGTCTTTTGCTTGGAATAATACATTAAACATTATTAAATAAATTAAGTAAGTGTTCCAACAATCATATTGAAAAATGGCCAGTACTCAAAATTAGTATTGGTTTCATATATGGGATTGTTTATAATGCTGTCATATACATTTCCTTCAAGTTTCACATTTGTACCGAAGAACTATCCTACACAGATTGGGGAAAAGGTAAAGAAGACGACCTTCTTGAGTCAAGCTTGACTCCTAGTGACTGTATGGACATGTCTTGACCCCAATATGGAAGTGTTTTGGCATTGCCTTCTTCCAAGTTCATTTTTTCACTTCCTAGTGTAACCTACAGCCCTAGGTTTTCTTGGTGCTTTCCCATCCAAGTATTAACTAGGCTCAACCTGTCTTATTTTTTGAGATTCGCTAAAGTTGGCTAGGTGCTCCCACATATAGCAATTCTGTTCTTTTTGATTGTTTCCTATAGGATGTGTCTTCGTAGTTAGTTTTCTCTTTCTGTTACCCTACTTAACAGTTCTAATCATCAACTTGTAACCTCTGCTGCTGCAAACTTTTCAGTTGTTTACAAATGGGTGTTGTTTCACACATACTCATTTGAACAAAGGAAATTAAATAAAGATATTCCCACAGTCAAAACCTTAGGCCTTTTCTGAATAAAAAGGAGATTCTTATTTTTTATTTTTCTAGCCATTCAGTGTGATGTGTAAATCAGGTTTGATTTTCCTATTTAAGAATTATTGTCCACTGCCATGGTAGACTATTTTTTTATAATTTTATTGAAGAAATTTTTAACAAAGTAAAAACCATAAAAGACAAGTTTAAAAAAATCAGTAAATAGTGAAAAAAGAAAAAAAGGAAAAGGAAAGTTATAAAAAAGTGGCTTCCAGTCTTCTTGACAGCAGTTATAGATACATTTATATTTTGCCCTCTCTAAAGTTACATCATTATTTCTTTCTTTTCATAAGCTACCCCTTCTAATCTTCAAACCCATAAATCACATGTTTATTTTTCTCTTTTTTTCAGCAAAAAGTCCATAAGGGGTTTCCAGTCACTGATAAATGTAGTTGTTGGTCTTTCTCTAATCACACAAGTTAATTTTGCCATCTCTGCTAGTTTTGTCATCTTCATCAACTATTCCTCCGTTTGGGTATTTCAGAGTTGTTCCATTTTTCCTCATATAATAGTCTCACAGCAGTAATCATATATAAAAATAATCTACCATGCTCTTTTCTAATTGGCTGTGCACTAATCCCAGCAAGAAAAATTCTGGTTTCAGTTGAATGTTAATCTTTAAAATTCTTTGTATCATTATATTTATTTGAACCCAGACATTTCTGTCTTTTTTACAAGTCCACCAGGCATGATAAAATGACGCTTCATGTCCACATTTCCAACATAAATTTGAAGTACTTTTATATATTCTAGACAATTTTTCTGGAGTCATATACCAACGGTACATCATTTTATAAAAATTCTCTTTTAGGTTATAACATAATGTAAATTTCACTCCTTTTAACCACATATTTTCCCTCTGTTCCATCAGTGTATTGTGTCCAAAACTCTTAGCCCATTCACTTGTTATTCTTCCATTTCAAATTTCAGCTAGAGTTTATACATTTTAGCAATTGCATGTTCATCATTTGTACATAGTTCAGATTCTGTCTTCTGCTGTTTAATTCCAAATGTCCTATTATCTACCTTAAATCTTCTCTTAACTACAAAAATCATTGAAAATTAAATCCCTCTACAGCCAATTGTTCTTTTGATTTCATCTTATATTTTCCTGTGTTCCTGTTCTAACAACTCTTGATAAGTTAACCATTTTTCTTTACTACTGTTTCTTTCCCCTAAAATGCTTCTTGTGCTGAGATCCATGAAGGCATTCTCAAGCACAGACTGGGTTTATATCTTGTTCCATATTCTCAGTATGGCACTTCTAATATAATGGTTCTTAAAATCCACATTAACCTTTATTGTACCATAGAAACACTGCCATTGTAGACTATTGGAGGATAGGATATAAGAAAAAAATACGTTAAGGTGCTTTATATATCACATATCAAATCACAGAACATAGAAAGGAGACACAAATTTTGTAAAGTACAGCTCAGAGGTAAATAATTAATTATAGAAAAATGTTGAATCTTCAGAATGGCAGTTCAGGTAATGTCAGCTGTTTCATCTAATTTAAGTTTGAACGTGCAGGAATTTGAAAATGACATTGCTCAAGTGATCTGCAAACTAAAATTGTATGCTTGTTAAAACATTACAAACTAAGTTTAGAATATTAAAAGCTAGAATATTTCAGGATATACAAAGCACTTGTCATATTATATAATCTAAGAACTAATGATTATAACAACATTCAGTCATGATACCATCTTCTGATAATTAGAAAGTCAGGTGCTCTACCATATGCCTAAAAAATTGAAATCATAGTTCTAACTTCATTTACAAATCGTAGGTGAACAATTAACAGACTATAACCAGTGAATCTGTAGGCTCTAATCTTCCATACCTAATTAGTCCTGATAGACCCCTTACTGTTGACCATTCATTGGAATCTCATGTAAGGTGAGAACGAGCAATTTAAGGTGGGAATGAGCACTCTACAACCCACAGATAATATGTAGTTTCCATCTATCTTTTTTGCAACCCCTACAGCCTATAGAGAATGTGCTGCCAAATAGAGGTGTGATTTCCTGCCAATTTCATTAAGAAAACATACAAAAGATGTATAATTTGTTGAAATAGTTAATTAAAAAACAAACAAACTACTGATAAATCTAGCCCTGGCAACTTGTGTGAAATTTTAATGTCACTGTCCATGTAGCTCCTACCTACTAAAGAAGAAAATAAACACTCTGGCTGTCACAAATTGCCCACTTTTGCATTAAGAGAACTTTATGAAGGCAAATATTTGATTAGTGAGTTTTAAAAAGTCCTGTACAACTTCACAGCTTGTGCTTGTTTATAAATAAGCCTAAATTGTTTTAGCCCTAATCCTTATAGTACTTGATAATATTAAAGGTAGAGAGCTAAAAAACAAATAAAGTAATTAATCAATATAAATGTAGCTAAAGCAACTTAATATGAAGAGATAGTATTGAAAAACTACTACAGGGGAGTTCCTTTTGTCTCAGTCCTGTATCCCAGAATTTTGACAATAACTAATAGGAGCCAACCTAAGAATTCTTACAGCAGTATAAGGAGGCAGCTTTTTGCCTTATAGCAATACCAGGATCCATTCCTGATGCTGTTGCTCATTCATCAGTACCCAGAATTCCATTATAGCTCTCTTTTTTTGTCAGTACACAGAAGTAAATTCTATAGACAGGAATGAAATGTGGTGATACTGGGAAATGAGTTACATTCTTTGAATGAATAAAGTAGAATGGTCTAATGTTAGCCTGCATAATCCAGAATCAGATACTAGTCAGATGTGTTGAACTTCAACACATCTAGAGGATACCTGGTGAAAGAAATGACTAAAAATCAGCTATTTTGTTCAGAGAAAATGAGCAGCTCTGATAGCTTTTCAATGATTTTTTATCTATTATTCATTACAGTGCGGAACAATAGGGTCTCATTCTCAACAAGAGAATAACGTTCAACCTGGTACCGACATTGGATATCAGTTTCCCTTCCACACCATACGAAAGCCCATCTCCCAAAGCAGCATGACTGACTGGGCTTCCAAAAATCTTAATATGCATACTCAGGGCATCTTTCGTCGAAGGCTCTCCATTGCCAACATGCTGTCTTGGAATGGTGGCTCCATCAAAAAGCCAATGCTTATCACCAGCAACTGTACCATCAAAAAGGAAGCCTGCGAAATATTTAAACTGGTACAAATCTACATGGGTGACCGGCAAGCCAGAATGGACCGGAATAATGTGGCTTTGATCACCATCACCAAATGCTGGAGTATTCAAGGTTTACGGGATGAGCTATACATTCAACTAATCAGACAAACAACAGACAATATGTGCTACCAAAGTCTGGCATGGGGCTGGGAACTCATGGCAATTAGTCTGGCCTTTTTCTCCCCATCACCCAAGTTCCAATCTTACCTGGAAGGTTACATCTATCGTCACCTCAGCCAAATCACCGATGAAAATAGTAAGTGCGTTATTTAATAAAGGTAAAGTAAATTACAGTACCTTAAACACCTATAGATGAAATGAAATAAATTATAATAGGGTAAAGTTAACATAATACAGTACAATACATATTAGTAAAGGAGCTCAGGACCAAAGCTTCCTTTCTTTTCTATAAGGTAAAATGCAGATTGTGTTGCCCAAGAACCTGGCTTCTTTGGTCAAGGTAGAATCCTTTCCATTCTGATTCTGAAGAATCAGGAAAAAAAATCCTTGCAGTGTTTAAGGGGTTTATCTCCATTTAGATTTAATGATAGAGATTCAGTTTCATTGAAACAAAAAGCTATATATCTTTAAAGAAACAGCGTTTTCTATAACTTTGCAAGAAATTATTACAAAGCTCCCAAGGCAAACATTTACTTACTTACTTACTTACTTATTGAATTTATATAGCCACCCATCTCACTTGCATGTGACTCTGGGCAGCATACACAATTAAAACAGAAACTAAACAATTAACATAATTCAACCATTAAAGCCAATTAAATATTAAAATTAAATTATTAAATATATAATGGTGCACTTGAGTCAAGTTTAATTCCTGGTGACTAGAGGCTTTTCTTGGCAACAATATGGAAGCAGCTTGCTCTTGCCTTCTTCCAGGATGTTTTTTCAACTGCACAATCTAGTCTACAATCCTGGAATTGCTTGATGGCCTCCCACCCAAGACCTAACCAGGCCTAACCTTGTTTAGCTGTTGAGCTCAGACAAAACTGGTCATGTGTTCCCATCTAGGTAAATATAATTAATTGCCCTGCATTTAAACTTCAAAGTTTCTGTTATGTTTCAAGCTGAATACTGAAAAAAAAAAGTGGATGTTCATACAGGGATAGTTTTTTTTAATTCTTTGGTATTCTATGGTTTACTGAAAGCATATGATTAGTTGAGAGGTTTTTTCAGCAGTCTCTTTTTATATCCCTGGATTCTGATAGCATAAAGCCCAGATGGAGCCACAGTTCATACTGGATTGAAAAGTTTGGGGAGAGCAAATATTTCAGTCATTCTTAGTCAAAATAATAATTTGAGAAGGAATATTTTAAATTCCAAATCTCTTTTCCATTATATACATTGTTCAAATAATTTATGAGACATTCAGTTTTGGTCCTCAAGCTCATGCTACTGATTGTGATAACTGTTGAGAAAAGCAACAGACACATATGGGCAAAACATACGTACTTAACAGGGAGATCCACAGAACTCATTTTGTGATGAGGTCAGTAAAGACATGCTTGTACCAATGGAAGAGAACAGTGAATATTTGACTCTCTTGCCATCACTCAGTTAAAAATACTTTGGATTTGCAGTTACCCAACGCATTAAGGAACTTCTGGATCTGAAAAATAAAAAGAACTCAAAATCCAGGAAAAAGAGAAAACAGAGCACAGAGGATGAAGGTAAAACATATAAGAAGACAAAAATCAGCATATATCTCTGTTTTGTGTATCATGGATTTCTGGCATAGGTGCTTGTACTTTAATGTAGGAAAGTTCATTCTAGAGCATATGAAGTATCAGCAATACAGAAATAGAAAGAAATGTGAAATGAAATAAGTCCTGGTAAAATTTGTAGTATTTATTTTGTTATTTTATTTTGTTCCACAGTATTCTAATTTATTAACATTGCTTCAGTAATGCCCCAATCTCACAACTCTGAGATTAAGTATAAATAAATACTGCCTCAATCTAAGGTCTCATTTATTTCAACAGAACCTGTATCCAAATAAACACAGATTGGGTTGCAGCCTTAGTTTCATAAAGCAGTTGGGATCTTTCCATCCAGATGGGATCAGTTATAATCATTGGCTCTCAGACTCAAAGAAGTCCAGCAAAAATGCTAATTTGGCCATATTCCTCTTCTGTGTTTATAGCATATGGACTTCTTTTTCCATTTCCTTGTAGTCTTGGAACTTGAATTCAGTCCAATAGCTGATACCTACTTTAAAAAATCCTAAAAAAAATTAAGTGCAGGCAGCTTCTACTGTGTTACAGCCTTACCTACTAAAATAATTTTTTTCACAGTCAGTCTCTCAGTCTCTCTCTCTCTCTCCCTGTGACCTATATTCTGCCTAGATAATTTTCATTATTCTTACTATCTAGAAAAGTGATTCAGCTAATCTCAAGACTGCTCTAACTATTGGCATGCTTTTCTGTTTGGGCAGTTTCTGATTATTTTAATGTATTGTTTTGCATCAAATGTAACAATATTGCTCAGTGTTTCATTGTCACTTCTGCTTATATTTGGTTTTAGATAAGAATTCTAGACCCCAAAAAAGAGAAAATGTTGATATAAAATATACCAATAGCACCCTTCATTTTCTTGTATCTTTTTAGATTCATACCTCATTCATGTTCACAAACTCTGGGTAGCTAATATACTGCACCTTAACAATAAATTAACACCAAATTTAAATTTTAAGAATGAGGCTTAAAAACAGTCTTAAGTCACAAAAATCTCAAGCCTCAAAGGCTCCACAGAAAAATCAGATTTTGATGGTTTTCCAAAATATTAAAGGGGGGGGGGAAATCCAGATTTCAGGAGGGAGCATGTACTACAAGGATGGGTTTGACATTGAGAAAGTTAGGTTTCAGACTCCCATCCATCTAACTCCTGGAGAAATAAGCTGAAGTATCCTGTCTTGAGCCAACAGGGCAGGCATATTCCCTTCAGAAAATATAATCCTGTACATGAACTGGATCCAAGCCATATAAGGCTTTAGAGGTCAAAATTATCACCTTGAATTATATTTGAAACATACTGGCAGCTAATGCAGTGCCTGCAACACATGTCTAATACTGCTAAAGCAATAAAATAATTGGCATAGCTTCATACTATATAAGATAAATGCCTTTCTATCATCATATTCCTCACATTATATAATAGATACATAGTTATAGGAAGTCCCCAATATGCTGACAGTGCAATAGCAGAATTCTGAGGGAAGAGGTCTCTGATCTTGGAGGTAGCATATAGCTATTATAACTAAGAGCCATTGAGACTTTTATCTTAATAAATCAGTTTAATCCCTTTTTGAATCTTTCCTTATTAGTGACCATCTCTACATCTTATGCTAGTTAATCTATGACATTTCTTATATGCCTTATGAAAAGTGCTTTATTTTGTTTATCCTGAATCTTTAATTTATCAGATTCATTAGATAATCCAGATTCATTGGATGATCCATTTTCTCCCATATTGTGTGTAATTTTATAAATGTTTTCTAAACTAAAAATCCTTAAATGTTTTGGACTTCCCCTATAGGCAGTTTCTCCAAATCCACTCTAGTGTTTCCAGTTCTGTGATATCCTTTCTAAGATGTGACAAATAAAATTGCATGCAGCATTTCAAGTGTGATTCACTATATATTTGTACAGTTGCATGGAAAGGTGTAGGCACTTCTGCTCAAATTGTATGTTTCCATGAGCCCCTACGTGAATAGAAATTTTCATAGGCTTTACTTGATACAAAATTAAACATGGCTTCTTTCTGCATATTTAAATGCATACTTACTATTTAGAGGTTCATTGAAACAAGGGATACTATTTAGAGATTAATTGAAACATGTTACTTGACTAGAGATACCTAAACATTTACATGTAACAGCACAGTTGCATTTTGATTTTAGTAGAGACATTTTCTTTTTCATTGCTGTTTAATGTCAACGGCATGCTTTCATTTTGCTACCATTTCCAGATCTATTTTCCAGTCAATTACTGCCAACTCAGACTGCATTAGTATAGGATTCCTTCACCCTTACTTATTTTTCCTTGATTCACATCTGTCATTTTATTGTTCTTTCTTATTTTTAAATTATCCTTGTCATTTGTTTTGATTTTACTTTGTCAAATAATTAAGTGTCCTCAGAAAACATTACTGGTTTTTTTTATTAATGATACTCAGATCACCTTACTATGATTAATAAGGAAAAGCTGTGTTTCTGGAAGTACAGAGCACTAAGACATTCTTTCACAGCAAGAACTTGCTACCTGCTTCAGAATTTTTTTACTACTTCCTTAACACAATTCCCAAAGTGCTATGTCACACAAGTTAAAGTGTTGCTGAAATCAACTGCAAATCTTTAGAAAGACAGTGAAAATCTGGTTCTTTCCTTGAGAGTTTGGGGCAGGATGATTAGTCCTCCTGTCTGGAAGAGTGCAATAAATTTGAGTTCCACATCATCAGATAATTTTTTATATTTGCTTTTAGTTGGTGCTCTTTATTTTGTCTTTGGTATCTTTGTTCATTGGTTGATTATATGTTACCCATTGTTTGAGTTGGGTGGCCATATTAGTGCTTTAAATAAAATAAACTCTGTGCAATGCAAAAATGGCAGTTTTATCCTTCATTGCTTGCTCATTGTTAATTTTATCGAAGCAATAAGCTTGAGCCATGTGACTCAGGCAATAGCTTTAATTTAACAATAGAGTACTATCAAGTTCGCAGCACTGGATGGCTCTTATCCAATATTGCAGACAGCGGGAGGCACATTAGACCTGTTCTAATTGAAACTAATAGTCCAAGGGTTAGTAAAGGATCATCATTTCTTGTTATAGCACCTTATGAAACAAGCCAAGCATCAGTTAATCTAAATGTTGATGTATGGAGGAGTGTTTGTTGGGTGCTGGAGTTTTTGATGGTGGTTTTATTTTTTCTTTATGTGTTTGTGAGTTATGGTACGTAAGATGGGGAGCCATATAAGTCTTTTAAATAAATTGATATATAAATGTCAGTTTGGGAGCATGCTAGAACCACCAGAATTTCCATATACTGCTTTATGTAACAATTCCAAGACAAATTTTCCAGACAATAACAAAACTGAATTTGATATTAAAACTAGTCTGAAAGTAGTGCTAGCAATGGCAACTATCTCCCAAATAACATAGTGAAAATACTGTCTGTTATAGTTTTGTTTTGTTTTAATGGATAAAGTTGTTCCCTAGTGTAAAAGCTGGGAAGATACAGTCAGTCTTTTTAGAAAAGCAACAGAATGTGAATAAAGAAATCAGTCACAAAATATGAATGTTATAGGAAAAGTTTGTATTTTATGTGTTGATTATGATTTTTAGATAACTTAATAATACAAATTTACAGATAAAAGAAACTTTAAAAATAGCTTAGAGTTGGGAGAATAAATGATCCAATTATTACCACTATAAGTATACAGCATTTCTTACAGCACTCTACACCAAAGGATTTAGGATTTTTTCCTAGTTCAAACTGCCATAAATGAAGTAAGTACAGGGGGGAAATACTTTGAGAAAACAAAACAACTCTATAACAAACTCATGTCTTGGAGAAAGATGTCCAGATTTACATAACAATAAAACTATAATAGAATGTATGTAGAATTCTTATTATTCGATGATAAAGATAAGGTTGAGTGTCAGAGAGGATCTGCAGTTATTCATGCTCTGGGGTCATTTTCTTTTTAAAGGTGTTTTCCAGGGCTACTCTAAAATCACTTAATTTGTTCATTTTTATCTGCTAGGTCTACCAATCAGCACTTATGCCAGATATTGTTACCGAAAGCTGCAAAAAGTAGCAGTCACTGGAGGCAAAAAAGTGAGTAATTTGAAATACCCTAATTTAATAGCACAACTTAAGTGAGTACCTTTTTTCTTTCTCCTTTTTTGTTGTTATATATGAGTACTGAAATTGCTTTTATCAGCTATGAGAATAAATAGATTGGAAAAATGCACATGTACATTCATATTGTACTATTATAAAACTGGAAACAAAATCTGAAATATTTTGCTGAATCTTCCTTATGGAAGAAAAATATAGAAGGAAAGAAAAGGAAGACTGAGAAGGACTATTAAATAACATCAGTTTTTTTCAAAGTGTGTTGAATGTTCATGCAAAGATGCTTTAGCAGTCAGAATTAATATGGAGACTTTATATTCCTTGGTAATCACTACCAGTCAATGTTGAGAGTAATGAGTCAGACAGAGCAGTGGTTTGAATCAGAATCAGTATGTGACAGCTAATTCTATTGACACTGCCGTCATGCTGGGAATTTCCATACTCGCATGCAAATTGCCTCTGACAAAATGTGTGATAGCTCTTGTTTTCAGAATGTCTCAGTGTCTTGATGGAGTAATTGAAATCTATATAATATTGTGTTTTTAGAAATACGTTAAAGATAAACAATGCATGTTATAAAGAGTTCTTAATTCAAAGTTGAAGTTAATTATGATTTGTCAAGTTCAGAAGGGGAAAAAAGCTCTAGTTGAACAAAACAGGATTAACAAAACTTTTAATCTCCTTCCAGCTTTTGAGAGGAGAAAAGGAAAGGGAATGCCCAAACCCACCCTTGCTGTAGCACATGAACTTTGAACAAAGTATTTACGTATATTTCCATGACGTTAATTAAGTTAATTTAACTTAACTTCCTGGTTAGTGAGATGCAGGCAGCAGTATGTTAGGATACAAAGTAGATTCTAGATTAGAGTTCTGAACTTGCATATGATAAGATGCTTTGGCTAAAATTGGATTTTGGTTGCACTTGTGACATACTGCCTAAAATGTGCCAAAACTGACCAGTACTGGCCTTATTGATGGCAAGGAATGCTATATGTGGCATGACTAAAAGACTGCTAACCTGGTCTATACCTTCTCTGCCTTTCTGAAAAGCATTATGTGAAAGCCCCAATTGACCAAAGCAGTGTTGGGCAGTAAAGGTCAGTATGTATGGGCCCATCTGGTGAAGATCAATGGAAGACTGACTTGGAATGCAAGAATAATAGATGGTAAAGAGCAAGATTAATGAATAAGAATAATGCTGGTCTATTGCAAGGAATGAACATTTGTCCAGAGAAGCAATGATTACTGTGTATAAGAGTGCGCTGCCCGCTTCGTCATATGAAAGTAAGACTTAAATGTGTCAGGAGAAACAAAAATAAGTTCAATGTAGTAGAAATGGGGGTACTTAATAAATATGTGTGGTAAAACAAGATATTGAGTCAAGAATGAATCAGGGCTGAAAGAATATAATATGGACCAGTATGAAAGAAGTACTTGGAAGTGATTTGGTCATTTAAAGAAAATTAATTAGGATCAAACTGCAAAAGAAGTACATGAAGCAAGAGTGAATGGGTCAAGAAGGGGAAGACCAAGAAATTTGTAGCTGGATGGATTTAATAAGATCCTCTATAAAGAAAAGTTTAAAGACCAAATGCAACATATGAGGTAGAGTATGGGTATGGTAGAAGCTAGTATACTTCACAAGGATAGAAAGAGATGGAGAGGTATAGTGAAAGGTTTTGGCATAAACTACTTTTTAACTATATTTCATTTTCTTTTGGTTATCTCATTCCTTTAATCTCTTTGTCTTACTCTTACTTCTTTTTTGTATTCTGTATAACACTGCATATTCCAAAGAGGAATTGATGGGTATGGGTATATGTATATGTATGCTTAAAGGTGACCAGCTAATACACACCTTCAAAAGTTACCAAGTTTCATATTGGTATATTCCTAAAAAATAAAATCATGGATATATTAACTATCTACTTTTATATCCTTTTTTTTCCAAAACAATTTCAAATAGCCTTCCCTTTGAAATCCCCATTTTTCTTCTTCTGAGAATGTATTTTCAGAAGACGTGAATGGAAAGGAAGCTGAAGTACAAATATCCTTCCAACCCATTGCAAGTTTATTTAGTTGTTTATTATTATGGTTGGTTGCACAGTCAGCCAGTTGTTTAGACCAGATTTGGCATTTTTATCCACCTATCAAGTCCTTCCCGAGGACCTGGGATAGGCAGATGTTG